CAGGAAAAGAACACATTAACAATAAATACAATAGATACGTCTTTTAATAGAGGCGTCCGGGATGAAGATGGGGGAAGATTTGGATTGCCACTGGAAATTAATTTACTCATCATAGATACATTACTTGTACCAGGAAAATGAGGGTATATTAGATAGAAACAGAAATATGGCTTACCACAGGCAACCTACGAACTCCTCGAAGAATTGTTGCAAGAGAGCGTGACACTTTTTCTACAACAGGTATCGGATTGTATGTCCTCGTTCTGACCGCACGTGGCTGTGTACTTATACATCCCACACAACAAAGGGTTTTTCAGTCGGTTTGAAAAGACAAAAGCAACCATACTTTTATTTTCCAGTCTTCCTTGGGGCATATATTATGTAATTTACTATGTGATCCCATTGCACATTTCACCATTATAAATTTAATTCGTTATTTGTGAAAAACTATATACAGACTTTTGCTTCTGAAAAAAAACTCCGCTACGCATGTTTAATTTTTCCCAATTTTGCAATGGGAAGGCTTGTGTATTAAATGTAAAGGACAATATCATTTTTTTCTTTTTTCAGTTGATTTTCACTTTTCTGATTTTGGAAGATGGTTGGCAAAAACGCACTAGGTAAAACCGTACCTGCTTATTGAATAATAAAAAAAAAGTTTTGATTATAAATTTACACCTAGAAATGATAGCTCTTTAATCCACAGTCAGGTCTACGACGGTTCTATTCCAGTCGTTCCGTTAGTTGATTTTGTCGAAAGTATGGCTTTTTGAGGTTTAATGGAGTTCCCCTTTCTGAATTTACCTTTGAGTTCGGTATTTTTGTTTTTACATTTTCCGTATTTTTTCAAACATGGATTACAAGTAATTACCACTTTAGACTTCAATATTATAAAATGATTATTTTTAAGTTGATCGGAAATCTCTTTATAAAGATATTTTCTCAAGAAATCTACTTAATTCAATACATACTTATATCTGGTTTACAGGCTGACCGTGACTGTCAATCATTTTGCCCGATATTTACAGTAAATTACATCTTGATTCCGACTCATTTATCAGTTTAAATGTTCGTACTGCGCATTCGATCTTTTAAACACTCTAATTAGTTCAACTATGCCATTAAAGTAACATGTTACGTTGTATAGACTATTGATACATTCAAACGCAGTTACATGTAGTTATTGACAGTGGTAGTATCTTGATAATAATGCATGTTTCCTTTACAAAGTTTTCATATATAATTTCTGACTAAAAAAAGGCTACCGTAGTTGACCAATTTTTGAATCGCGGAAATCCGTTTAGAATCAACTAGTCAAGATAAAAACAAAACAATAACGGAGATAATTGTGTGAAGTCATAAAAAAAAAGAGCGAGATCGGGTATAGCAGGAGATCTCATTTCTCAGCAGAAACATACCCTGTCCTATCATATGGCGTTTAATTATTTTAGTTCATACGTTGCAATCGTGCATGTACTATATATACGAACTTTTATCACATGTGTAAACAGGGGTGTACTCATATCTTGGTTTGTATTTTCTAAATAGATTTACGAGATTTGAATATTGGTAAACTACTGCTGCCTCCGTACCCGCCATGCAAATGTACATTCAGTCAAAAATTACAATAGGGAATATAACCATATCTGTAAATTTATAGATCAAATGACTTTCATGGATTCTAAAGATCTTAGAAAACGAAAACATATATTCGCGCGTGACTTCATACACAGACATCATCATATTGGTTGACATATTCGTGACCGTAAAATTCATGTTCGTAGTGTTGATTTCAGTTGTTCTTCCTCATAACCCTGCTGGATAAGTTTTTGTGTCAGGAACACAACCCTGTTAACGAAGTCCGTATAGTGTGAACCTGCACGAGCGTAACATATAAAAGAGACATGAAAACGCAATACGATGGGGTCAAGGGGTATGTTACTGCAGAGAAATGGAACGTTGACAAATTATGGAAAGCTGAAATCGTCACGTTTGTCATTGAATTGTGGGTTATTCAGTGAAATGAAGGGAAGCATACAGCATCATATCTAATGTATCACATGTGAAGCAGGATCTGCCTACCCTTCTGATCACCTATGGTTTTTGGTTGGCATTGTGTTGCTCAGTCTCTAGTTTTATGTAGTGTTTAAGGTGGATCATTGGGATATATTTCCTCAGATAGAATTTTCTTATACTTCGCCTTAATGAAGATTTTACAATGCTTTTTTTCAAAAAATATAATAAAAATTATGGGTCGCCGTGCTATTTTTCAAGCTATAAGTCGTGCAAAATTACACAAATTTGCATAGATTGTTCATGAAAAAAACACATTTTTGTGAATGATAAGAAATCTATGAGATAGAATTTTAAAATAAAATATGAGAAGATAGGTTTTATAATATGCTTTAAGAAAATAAAAAGAAAAAATGGTGTCACCGAATTAGTTTTCTTGCTACAAGTAAAAAATCAAAATTTCACTATCATTTCAGTATAAAACTTTTACTATAAGAGTTATCTCCCCTTAAATGGCTAAGTTGAAAAAATGATTCTAAAAAACATTTATTTGGTATTTGTTTAAACATTTTGGATAATTTTGGATAATGCAATAAATCAGTTATTTTTCTTTATCTTTCACATAAATTGCAAATCTGTCTCAAAATTTGCAGATTTAGGCAAAGAACTAGACCGATATTGTACTGCTATTGTACAATCCAAGATGGCGGTATACAGTGAATCTACCTTGATAGACTGTTGTTTGTCTGTGTCGAGTTTTGCCATGATTTGTCGATCATTCTTCGACGTGTGAGTTTTGATTCTCCCTTTGGTATACTTCGCCTCTTTTTTCTGATAGTTAACTGATTTTATAAAATTGAACATTCCAATTGCGGACTTGAGATAAACGGTCGATTATTATGTTATTTACATTAGTATCTTACTGTAATAAAGAAGCGAAATATAACAAAGGTTTATTCAAACTCATTAGTGGCAAAAAACCCGAAAAACGACCAGAAGACTATCATTTCGTAAGTGTTTCAGTGCGCATATTCATTGAGTACAGGAAATTGATATACAATTTTCAGTGTTTTGTTCGTCAATTCTATTCTATTTAAAGCACATGCTTACCTAGTGAAAGATCCAAGAGTTTGTATTGTACGAAAGATGATGATTAAACAGTAGAAACACATTTCATATTATCCTCTCTTGCAATTATGTGTATCAAATCTGATAGTTGAAACTATACTTTACATCGCGAACTAATTTCTTTGTAGTAGATCTAGTCAAAAATGATGTCCTACAATATAATTATGCATTCATATTGATGAACACAAAGAAGTATTGAGTAAACAAAATGTAAAATATTTTATTCAAATAATATTCTACATTATAACATTAATATCTTGACTTACATCTAGAAATGGACAATGAGGGTCGGTTGAGAGATGATTTAAGCTTCTCAATTATGAATTATCTATTTCTATGTAGCAACATTCTAGCAGCGCCTGCATATAGAGTATATATCTCTCATTGATACGGTATTCCAGAACTTGTATGTCCTATCATGAGTTCCTTGAGTAGAGGGTTGAGCACTGTTTACAATGAAGTCCTTAAGTGGTGAAAATGATTTTATCCCTTTGAAAGTTTTACAGCCGCCATTACGATTTGGTTGATCGTTATGGAATATCTGTTTCACAGATGACGCCAGATATATGTTCCAGTTGTCGTAACCACAATCCCGTCCTCTTCTCATCGAATGTGACCTACCGGTTAGTCCTTACATGAACAACACGACAGGAGCCACATATGGAGCAGGATCTGCTTACCCTCCTAAAGCACCTGAGATCACCTCAGTTTTTGGATAGTTTTGTGTTGCTCAGTGCTAATTTTTCTATGTTGTGATATATATATTGTTGTTTGTCTTTTTTTGTCGTTTTTTGCCATGGCGTTGTCAGTTTATATTCGATTTATGAGTTCGAATGTCCCTGTTGTATCTTTCGCCTCTCCTTTACATTAATGTAAAAGTACTGTTGTGGAATTAGGTTGGGTGTTTAAGACTTGTTAGTTATAGTAGGTTACTCTGTTTGCGTAATGCTTACAAAGGTAGGGGTAATGTAACTATATGTGTAAATAAATGAATTATGTGTCCATGGGACACAGATGATGCCCCCGCTTTCTAATAACGCTTAAAGGGACATAACTAGAGAACTGTAAGTGACACTACCCGAATTTGTTCTTGATCTGTGTTTGATGGTAAAAAGCATTGTGTATAAGTTTCATAACATTTGGGTGAGGTAAACTAAAGTTAGTGAACGGAAACGAAAAAAGATGAATATTTCCATTTATAACGAGGCATAACTCGAGAACGGTAAAAGTGACGCCACCAAAATTCGGCCTTGATCCGTGTTTTGTGATTATTAGCATTGTGTGTGAGTTTCATAACATTCGGTTGAGGCAAACTTAAGTTAGAGAACAGAAACTAATTTTGGGACGTACGGACGGACGGACAAGGGATACACTTAATGCTCCCTCTGCCGTGGAAGGGCATAACAAGGGTAACAAACTACATGAACGGTTGACGCAACATAAATACAAGAAGATCCAGAAGTCTTCTCAAATACTGTAAATTAAGAATGTAATGCGATCTTGTTGCATATTTCACACTTTGTAAATGCCATAAGTAAACTTTGGAATTTAAAGTTATTGGTACTAGTCTTTCAAATTCATGCTTATTCTTGCATCGAAAATTTACCGATTTGATAATCAACTAAACCGATTCTTAATTACAAATAAGCATTAAGAATGTAATGCGATCTTGTTGCATATTTCACACTTTGTAAATTCCATAAGTAAACTTTGGAATTTAAAGTTATTGGTACTAGTCTTTCAAATTCATGCTTATTCTTGCATCGAAAATTTACCGATTTGATAATCAACTAAACCGATTCTTAATTACAAATAAGCAAATCAAATGAACTCCAAAAAAAAAGAGCGGGTGTGTCTACTGGGTTTATACATAATTATTTATTTTATATATGTATATAAAACCTGCAGCTCCACACAAAGAGTAACAGAAACGGTTAAAGTGAATTGCCTTACCGGTTTCACAAACAAATAAATGTAAAGCCACTTAGATTCAGATACTTAAGTCTACAAATAATTTTGCTTGATAAACAATCTTTAAATATATATTTAAGTACACGATACGGCTTTGTGAAGAGAGCAATTAAGTTTAATAAAGAATACAATTTTGTTTCCTTCGTCTAAACTGCGTTCACACCATATTGTGCCCTTGGTGTCGATCGCCTTTGTAATAAAATAGTATACTCAGAATTAAGAGAAGCCACATTGTTATGATTGTTTCCATTATGTTTGTAATAACGACAGAAAATGATCGTTGCAAAGTTCTTTCGAAAGTTCTGGCTAAATATGCAGTATATAACAGGATTTGCTGCAGAGTTCACATATGCAAGGATGGTAACAAAAACCACAAAGACCCATGTACCACTAAAAGGTACGTCAGAAACAGTATCGTAAATGAGTAAAATTTGATGAGGCGAATAGCTTAAAAAATAAATTGTTACGCTTGCTATTAACATTTTGACAACTCCTCGACGTGTTTTAATTGCTTCCCTCAATCGACCATTGTCATCGCGTGCATGTCCCTTGTTTGTCAAATTTGACTGTAAGGCTTCCACGCTTAGAAACAAATGTTTTCCAATTATAACGTAACACAATAGCTGAATCAGTAACGGCAGGAAATAGAAGATGACCGATTCCACATACTTAAACGTGAAGAACATGTCTTTGTTTGGTTCTGCTTCTGGAAACACAAGTCGACAAAAGCAAAGACTAGCATTAATTCCTACAGGGACAACAGTCACGAAGATGGTGGTAGGTAGTCCAAAACCAACTGCGACAAACCAAACGATCACCATAGTTACCATTGTATGGCGTCTGGTACACAAAATATGTGCCTTCAGTGGAAAGACGATAGCGATATATCTGTAAAATAAAAAGGAAAAACTGTCATTGAAAACTAATCTGATAAGAAAAACTTGCAGGCACAATGATATTGTATTTCTTTAATGTTATAAAAATGACAAGTTAATTGCACCAAACATACATTGAACACGGGAAACAGCAACTATTTAGCCTTGTATATAATGTGATTCTCATAAAGAACACTAATGTTATTTTAATTACAACATCTCGACATTTCAGGTGGTGTTTTATTTACTGATAAAACATATTGTACTGAATCAGATGAATATGTTGTAATTGGTATATTGCAGTTTATTTAATTAGAGGTACTATAATAGAAAAGGGAAACTTTGACCTTCATGACTTCAATGATTATGAAACATGTAGACATTAAAGCAAACAAAACAATAACATTAATTCAATTATATTTTAATTTAGAATAACAAAGGCATATTTTGTAAGTGTATCTTGTTTGCTGATTTCCATAACATTTCCTTTTGCGGTTCTAATCCTTTTTTGTCTGCTTAAATCAAACAATCCTGTGTACAAATTTAACATCACTGAAAATTGATCATTTACCGACATTTTTTTGTCCTGATTAAATATATTAATTTGCAACGAATTTATATCTAGAGGTATTATTTACGGTCTTCATTAAAAGACAGATATTTATATGCTTTGTCTGTAGTTATTCTTACAAAAGTATATCAGTATTGTCACATTCTTCAACCCTTTGATGTTATTATTCACTTAATTGAAACGTATTTAATACCCTTATTAATCTACACAGCTATATTAAATACGCTCGGGGAAATTAAATATCTAGCTAATAGCAAATTTCTTCCTAAATGTGCATTTTAAATCAACATCAATATTCTGTAAAGAGTTGTTACTTTAGAATTATCCGTAACCGGAATTAATTTTACTCGTAACAAAACTATAAATATCAGATTATGTTCATTATCTATTTTCTGATTCTGTTTTCTACGGATCTAGTTGCAGAACAAAATAATTTGCCATCCTTTCATCATGCACATAATAGAAATAAAAGACAGCACTGATATTATGTAAATGTTGTACTTTCCAGAACACACTTTGTCAGTATAAAAGTATAAATAAAGCACACTTCGCCTACAACTGGTTGGCGTATTGTACTTGTTTGAAGGTTGTAAAGAACCTGTCATGTCTGTAGAAGATAAATTTAGTACCTACGAGTTGAAACTTGTCATAAACTAAAATATCATAATTTTATATGCCGCAACTCCTCGGAAAGGTTATGAGGTGTGACATTTCTTTTACGATATAGACTTCCTAAATTTGTATATTTAGAAATAATTATTTAAGCTAACATTTATAGAGCTTGTAGGATCCGGAGCCAGTAATTGTCTCCCGGGACCAACATGAGCGGAAATATTTCCCGAAGTTGATATCTTCGATAATATAACACATACAATCATCCAAGTTTGCATGATGTTGTACTGTTGAATGAAGGTTATCAGCATCAAGGCCATAATAAGGTCAGTTTGACATACTTATTTTAGTTCAAGAATAACGGAGGAGACATTAATTGTCGGAATGCGCATCTGGTGTAGTATAACTTGCAATTGGTACTGTTAATACTAATTTCCACTACCACTTGGAAAACACCTCTGCTGTGCGAGGGTATCACCGGCCTAGTAGCCAATAATTCGGTACTAACATACAATTACGAATATTGTTTTACTGAAATTTTCTGTTTAAAACATTGGTTAATCATTGGAAATTGAAGAATGTATCTCCCGCAGGCACAGCCCGGGTTCCTCTTTGATCATTTACTTTACTTTTGGTCCTTTTGGGGGTTTATCAAGTCTTCAACGTTTGTATTTGAATTTGCAAATATTTTTGGTGTAAGAGGTAGCTCTTAAGTCTTAGTCGCTGTCATCAGCTAAAGTCTTGAATTAAAAAGAAGTAATAAACGCAACAGAACAGACGAGCTCTCTGATGTTAAAGACAACAATTTTCTGACAATCTGTAATTTACTCTAGAGTCTGATGATGAATTAATCATATATGGAAATATGAAAGCCCACCTTTTTTGGTTTAAGAGGTAGCTCATTTTAAAGTTTGCACACCTCTGATCTTACTCAATAATGTCAGCATGTAAAAAAAAAGACAAAATAACATATTCAATTTTGCATGCATTGATTGCGTTTGTTCAATTTTATACCAAAGTTTATATCTTGGAACATATGTACTTAAAACACGTACAATTATCTAAATAAGTATACTGTTTTTCATTGAAGGATTTCTTCAAAGTCGATATGTAGAATACATAAAATCAAGTGAGAAAAATTGTTTACCATATCTCTGGAGTAGCAACTCCTAAATACTTTTTTATTTAACATATAATAGCCTGTATGACTTTGTATCAATAGTTTAGGTTTATTATATGAATGTCATGTAAAATACTCTATGTTGTAACAATTATATATGTTATGTGTATATGCCCCCCTGGGGACCTAATTTGGAAAATAAAATATCTTATCTTAAATATCTTAACTTATCTTATCTTATCATAAAGCAGCAGGTCCATCAGCAAAAACATATAAATGCACTTATTCTTAATATAATTTATTAGCTCTATAGAGATCATAAATCAAGAAAGTAGCAGAACATCGGAGTTGGAAAGATGGACATTTAGATGTACTTGAGAAAATAGATCTTCATTGGGCAAATAAGAAAAGTGTTTAACTTTCTTTTTCTGTTTTAATAGTTAACTTTGACTTAAAGGTGTATATATATGTACAATAGGGTACTTGAGTTATAACCCTAACACTTTATTATAGGGTGTGTTTATATGTAGAATGATCTATGGTCCTAAAATATGGCTTATAGATGTATACATTGTCTTGTATTGCCATTTAAAAAAAAAATGGAATAGAGAGGCACATTTCGTAATCGTAGATATTCTAAGTTTTATGTCTTGATTGAACTTCAAGTCGTAGCAGCTGTCATCAGCTAAAGTCTTGAATTAAAAGAAATAATGAATGCATCAGAACAGAAGAACTCTCTGGTGGTAATAAAAACAAGAATTTGCTGACAATCTGTAATTCCCTCCCGAGTCTGATGTTGAATTAATCATATATGGAAATATGAAAGCCTACCTTTTTCTTATCACTTCGAGCCAAAAGAATTACCACTTGCATAATTACTGAAATGTACTGATTGATTGACACGTGTTCACCATTTTATTCTGTGAAAGCTGTCAGCTTTTTATTGTGTTTGTGATAAATCCTTTCTTGAAAGTAGCTTAAAGTAGACAAATTAATCTTGTTTGTGAAGTCTGTCTATTGAAAATGTTTTTTTTTTCATGTTAAAGAAAGATAATGAAAAGATTGAAATTCTTTGAACGAAAAACACAAACAAGTAAAATAATTAGTTTTTGACAGATTCAAATGCCAAATAGAAATATTACGAAGGTTTCATTTAAAATGTTTTACGAACGTTGTCATGTCTAAGATGACCATTATGCAATAAACGTATTACATGTGACTACGAATAGGATTTTTTTTATAAAAGTATACATATAAATAAAATAAAATGTATAACATTCTTTTTTCCAGTAAATTAACATTGACTCTGAGCGTCCCTGATGACCGCAAATGCACTTTAAGTGCAGTTAAATGGGCTGATTATATTTCATCCTGACACATTACTAATACGACTTTTCATTGTGTTTAAGTATGTCAAACACGACAGGTATCACTAGTAGAGCAAGATGATCTTATTAATTAGAAATACTATACATTGTCTGCATCACGTGGACTACATCTGGTGTAAATTGTAGTCAATGTAGAACACGCTGTGGTTTTGAGCATAACATTACAAGGACTATATGTCTTTTTTCCCCTTTTTAAACATGTGTCGATATCAGTTTGTATTGGAATCTTAACCATAAGGGTTGGTTGAGGATAATAAATGGAGTCACATAGATTTCTCCCATCCAGCTGTTTGATATGTGCTAGGAGGGCATGGTGTAGATGGATGTATAAAGACGAAGTCACGTTGGAATGAGGAATTTTAATCCAATGCGCCATGTTGGTAGATTTTACCGCTTTCTACAAACAAACAGACTTTCAATACCTCGTCGCATTACCTTGAGTAAAGCAAAGCAAAGTTGTTGCATGGTATCTTTCAGCATATGCAAAGTTAACTCTATCCAGTTTTCCCAGTAAACCCAATTTGCTGAAAACTCATATGGCAAAATCGTAGATATTTTATTCATATGATTTTGCACCATGTGACTTTGGTCCTTTAGATTAAATTGCGTCACTAGTTGTAGATCAAAAATATGAATTAAATCAAATTTGCGGATAATCAAGTCTTTTTCAGTTTTGGGTCTAAAACTAACGAGTCTTTGAAAACTTCCTTTGGTAGATATTTACAAATATGTTGTGTAATTCTAATAAAAAAAATACTTATAATTTGACTATTTACAAAACTGGAAGGATGAAATCACCACGTTTTTAAAAGAATTTGGCCGAAAACTCAAAATAAAAGGTGCTGTAAAATGTATTTAACCTGAAAAGTCAACCTCCTATATGCGAATAAATCATAAAAAATCTCTTTTTGTGTCTTTATTTCCAAGTTGAATTTTGCAAGTTTACGAATTTTCGATATTGAAACCACTTTTATACTACGGTTACGCTTCCGATTTCCAAACTGAAAAGGCCGCAAGTTTTCAAAGTAGACAATGTTCATTTATACACGAACAGAAGGCAAAAAACATGTACAATTCATCTATATTTGGACAAATTATTGATGCGCAACTTGAGAATTGGCATATTTGCATATTTATTTCAGGGGCATGATAATCCTATTGCAATGACTGTCGTCATAATAAGGCAATATGGTCGCTATGCAAATTAGCAAAATACCCCCTACTTTGCCATATGTACACAATTGGTTTATTGTTATTTTATTCTTATCCTTAATTTGCACTGCATATTTGCCAAAGGATGTTAAGCTAGCAAAAATCAATAT